CACTCTGCGCTAGTGCTGTATTCCACCGCTTATCTTTCATCACTTAGTCTCGATCTGCGTTGAGATCACGCCTATGCTCAATTTATGTCGACATATCATTACTGCCTGTACTAGCTTACATAGCCCATCCGTCTTACTTTATGGATCTGTGTACCAGCTGAAATTATGAGAATACTAAAACCTCACCTAAGGTTCCGTATGTCGTGCTGCTGCACTTTAATATCGCTCGTATAGGTATGCTGGGTCGCATCTGGCGCAACTACGCCTTAGTTTCTATGTCAGAACTGCACTAACCCTCTAAACTTAAACCCTAAACCCTCAACCCTAAATATGGTTTTAGATGGGTCTGCCGACGACGATCGAAAGACGACGTCACAAAAAGGCGGAGAAAGGCACTCCGTGAATTGTGCGAAGTATGTGGGTGCCCCCCGCAGTTTCATAGCTGGGTTGTATGCAGTTGTCACGTTGAGAAAGCCTTTCTTTATACAATAATCAGTTGTATGCCTGTATTATCACATCGTATGTATTTTAACGTGCTGTTGGTGATTCTATCCCATTCACAACTATATACTATACAACCCCAATTGGCGCAGAAAACAAGGTTCTTCAGAAGTGAAGGTACATGCACGGTTTTAGCCGGTCAATATAGACATGTCTTATCGACACCGTGATGTTCCCATACATGGCAGTATTGGCTATAACGTAAAGCATGTGTTTATTTGTTCGATATATCCGTTTATAGTTCATATACACTTATATCGCATATCTATTAGTGTGGGGTTGTGTCTTTTCGTACGAACAGTGCGCAGCCAACTAGTTTGTTTAAGTCTTGTGTGTTTAAGTCTTGTGTGCATGGTTTAGCTGCATCAAGCGTGGGCATACATGTATTACATAACGCAATGTGGTTAAATTTATATGCGTAGTTGTGTGTGATGTTGTGCTCGTGTACTCAACCATCCCGTGAGACAATTTATTCTGGCCTACATAACTAGATAGCAATTCATATTTCGTGGTTTGCATGAATGGTTAGTTGTAGATTCGAACATGACTGATTTCTTACTCTGCCTATGTTATAGCTCTTTGATCGTATCGCGTACGCAATTGTAAATGTGTATCTCTGACATTTATGAATGTGTACATACGTATATGTGTGCGTCCGTATCAACACCCGTTGTCATTGATTGTAACATATAAAAATGTTTATTCAGAAGGCTCGAATATTGAATTGGTTTCGGAGGTCGGGATTAAGCCACACTGAGTTCGGCCGTGTCACCCAGTACACGCTGTTGTGCTTGTATTAAGACAGTCGTGTTCCTCATAAAATCGAATCTGATCTGAATGCTCACTTCACTTCTCCCCATGCAAAACTGTTGTTCCGACGTGGGCCAGTAAGCCTAATGTGTCAATTTGAATAAGCACTGTATGGTGTCGTGGTGCCACACATCTGGGAGAGGTGCAGATCTGTGCTGCGATCAACTTCCTGAGTAAGCTATGATCTATCTATCTGGTGATGTAGATCTGCCAACTGGTGCCGCGATCGTCTATATCCCAGCCTGCCTTCTCTCACACTCGAGTCACCCCTTGTGCTTCCTACCAGTTCACCAGTGGTAGCTATCGACATCGACAACGACGAGAGTCCTGGAACGGCGCCCACGAGCGATGCCTACGCACGCGCCTCTACATACGCCATACCACACGTCCTGACAGCTGTCGATTCCTCGCACGACCTACCCACACAGTCGGATCAGTGGATTAAACCAAACTCGAAGAGGGCCGGCCGGAATGGGCAAGTAGGTAGACTTTGTCGCGTATGTGTGAAGTGAGTACATGCCTGTGGTCGGAGAGTGGTGCGCTGATTCTGCCGTGTGCGTTTATGCTTGTGTATGTATGATAGTTGTATGCACGTTTAATGCTACATGTGGGTGAGCATTGGGCATGTGGTGTTAATCTACTTGTCCCTTCGGGAGTAGAACGCTCACTGCGAAAAAAACGGTTACATCACCGTCTACAGATGAATTTGAACAGTTCAAATGCGAAATGTGTGTCTGTTAAGGATGTTTGTATTTACGGGTGGTATCTCCATTCGCTTAAAATAGAGTGTTGAAATCTTACATTTATTGAGAATGTGTGCTTGTTGTGCCCATCACTGATTCCTAGGTTGACTTTCTTGCCATCAATTTTTTATGTTTGAATTGAATTGGAGTTTAGCAACATTGTTGCATGTCCAAGTATTTGGGACAAAACTAATCGGATTGCATCTACTGCGAAGTTTGGAACCGCATCCTTCATTCATATAGTTCACTGATTTCTGGTCACAGGCAATCCTCGTTACAGAAGCAAATGTATATTCTGTCCCACCATGAACATGTGGTGCCCAAACTTTTCCTTGCACCATGCATGGTTAAATGTATTGACGTACAACGCAGAGCGCAATAAGTAAGCAAATGTATATTCTGTCCCACCATGAACATGTGGTGCCCAAACTTTCCCTCACACCCTTGAACATGTGGCGCCCAAACTTTCCCTTTCACCATCCATGGTTACATGCGTTGTCGTAGAAAGCAGAGCACAATAAGGCTCCGCTTGTGCGACCCAACATCAAGGTCATCTATCCTGGGCGAGCGAAACAGATGGGCTCGAAAAGCAATCAGACCATTAAAGAGGTACTGTCGTTTGTGTACTTTCCAGTTCCTCGTCCTTTTGTTTTGTTATGTTCACACATACACACACGCCCCTCTCCAAAATGAAATAAACACATGCTCATGCAGAATACGCGGATGGCGGTAATATATACGTCAAACCTCTGAGGATCGTGTTCAATCACACATACACAGTTGTTGCGAGAATTTCTCATCTCTACCTTCATGCGGAGATGTTTTGTGTCATGTGTAACTCCTCGCGATTTGTTCGTCTGCTTATACGACTGAATGCGCCCTCCTTCGAATCACTGTCGACTTTGGCCCTCCGGTTTGAATTTGGCTCGAACGGCCACAAATGTTGAATACTTCTACTTTCCACATCAAGTCGGAATATCTATTATCTGCGATATTCACTTGAATTTGATTTGGCCTTGTTTTTGGCACTTATTGTACAGATGTTTGGCAAGTTGGAAGATGGGGCGAGCAGACCCAACCGACCGTATGCAGCGGCAATCTTATCGAGCGTTGCATTGAGTTCCAAAGGTCCAACACATGCCGAAGTTCGGGGGATCGCATCTCGGATAAGTGGAAAGGGTGCCGCAAGTCGATCAGACACTCACGCCGGGGCAACGGGTACGGGCCTGTTCAAGCAACCCATACGGCCAACACTCACGCACAGAGAGTCATACAGAGTTCAAGATGATAGCAACAAGTCGATTGCAAGAGACAGCAGCAGTCACGGTGCGCACAGAAGTACCGTCGAGCCTCAGCAGAAGACGAGAAGGTCGAATAGGGCCACAAACAGCACAGCTCAGGTGGCCAGCCTGGGGTTGGATGCTATTTGTGAGCGCACACCAGGGCGAAGGTATCACAACTGCATCATAATATAATGGGAACACACTCTCTATATGGCATTTTTCATTAACGTTGCTTCCACCACATGTCATGTGTGGTGTCTGTAATGTTTCCTTTTTTGTTCAAGCTATCTTCATATCTCGATAATAGCCTTTGTGATGGCCACTCTATTATTATCATATTGGGCACCACTGGTGACCATGTATAGCGCTCAGCTTGCTTCTCGTTATCACTTCGTGAACGCGTCAATGCGTTACTCTAAATCACACTGTATAGCTTCATTGCCTGTTTCCACTCCCTGTGGAAAAACTTGCCTTTGTTTGCTAGTACTCGTTGGTGAAACATATTTTCTGCGCTCTCTCACTGCTCAAAAGCCATATTGTTATAGCGGCGTGGTATTTGGCGCCACGCCTGGACGAACATGCTTTCCGCATCCACCTTTGATTCATCCGCTGCTGTCTGTAGCGATGATAAATGGGCAAACTGTGAACCTATAAATTAAAAACTTTTTGTTCAAATCCTACTTAAATTAAAGCTATGAATTTGAATAGTGGTATTTTTCACCACACTCACAAGCCAAAATCAACTTGCCAGGTCGCATCAACAAAAGAAACAGGGCCCTATATCAGTTGACAGTGACAGCAATGACAGTTTAGATGAGATTTTGTCCAATATGACTAAAAGTCAGCGCACCCGCCAGCAAACGGACGATGTATGTGAGCACGATGATTCCACGGGTGCGAGCCTGTAGGGAAATATTGTTCGCATTTTAAATGCACTGTGTGTATATGCAGTACGTGCTACTCTTCAGCCTCACCATTGCACTTTTCCTGAGTGATTCTCTCGTATACGATGTGATGTTTCAAGGGAGTCTTATCTTGCTGCACACACGTTCAAAGTTGTCACTAGTACTGATCATAAATGCGCCTGTCTTGAACTTCGAGAGGTTGTCCGACGCTCGTGTTGATGAGTTCTGCATCGTGTGCTATTGAGGTTTGCACGCAATGTTCTACTTTTCATCGCGTGAACAATATACCGGAATAGTCGTCTGTTGGGCATTCGAATTGATTTGTGCATGACATATCGCGTTTTGATCTAGGTTACGTTGAAGCGTTTTCACATACAAATTGATCAGTGAGGTGCTTGTGCTGTCTGATTGGATACTCAGTTGATTGTGCGGTTGGACGTGTGCCTTTCGGTCAGACACATTTTATAAAACACATCTATAGACAGTGAAATGTAACATTGTCCTACACTTACATTGCATTTTGTTTCGTAGCCTTATAGTTATATATAAATTACAGCACTGCAAATTGACCTGTTGTACACTCGACTTTCCTTCCAGGTCACTTCCATTCCAGCTACACACATCCACTCAACCTCTGTGCGCTTCGATGATGAGGACAATGATGCGTCAGATCCGCTGCGTGACCCGGACCCTGGTGTGTGAAAATAACTGCTCGCTTACCTGTCAAGTATGCGTACCTGATGTGATTGTGGTATGTGTTCAAGAATTTTTAGTGAGGGAACATTAGTGAAGCTTATAGATGCGTTAATGATCTGGGCTGATACGTACGTGGTGGCAAGCCACCGTATGCTTGATACAGAGGAAACCCAGATCGACAAGTGCATCTATATCAAACCCTTTCAGGACAGTAACGAATGTATTGACAAGAGCATCTGATTAGACGATCTGTTACGTAGTGGACTAATCGCCGCTGGGCCTTGGCCCAACAAACCAGTCAGTTCTGGTACGATGCTCCTCATGTCTTAGTAGGCAACATCGGTATTGAGCCATTTTACTAATCACATGCACAACGCCGTTGTGAGCTATTGAACACAGCACTTGTTTTCATGCCTTGTGAGGTTGGTCGTGGTGGAGTATGATATTTATCGTTGCTGTGTAGAATTAATCCCCTTCCCAAATTCTGCAGGCGTACTGCAATCTGAATCGATCTGCTTTACACGTCACGTGTTGACGTCTATTTGAACAACGATTTACGTCTCAAATGTGTAGTCAAGTATCGCATACTCTTTTCCCTTTCGGAAAATTCTTGTTGACAACGCTTTTCACTTTTCACCGCGGTTGTGTATCTATACGATCGTATACCGAGATTATATCCTTCTATATTCATGCGCATATCCTTGACATCGTTCACTGTAAAGTGTCTCAACATGTATGTGCCTAGATTCTGTCTGGGGAACCAGTGTATGAACTCGCGTTGCCCTGGTTCATAGATATGTTCCCTCCATCCCTGCTAGGTAAAACGGGTTATCTGACAGAAACGTACGACCCCGATAACATGATTGATGAGGCCCTATTTGCCAATATGAGTCCCATCAAAGGATTTGTACCGTTAGCTGAGCCCCATTCGCAGTTCCTCGCAGATCAATTCGGCAACTCGCGGGTGGGTGCCAAAGGCGTTCCGGCAAAAGCGACAGGTAAGGTTTCGCCCGGTGATACAAGTATGCGAGATTATGTGCGCATACGTAGCTAGGGTAAAGTACTCGCGATGTCTCTATTATCTTTAGTCTTTCTAGTGGTATGTGCTTATGTTATGACCACTTCATGTGCCATGATTTCGGCAGGCCTTTCTGCACCTACGATAATGAAATAAACCGAATCTTTGTCACGGTGTTTTGGCGATTGTGTACACGACTATGGTTTATTTTAGGGTACCTTGGATATATATCATGCTGTTGGCTATTGCTGTGCCCGGGAATATCTTACTACAGTGTCGTCGGGCTTACGATCCCCTGGAGGCTTCTTTATTCCACTATTTAGTGACTATCTAGTGAATGAGATAAACTGTAAGCGGCAAAGGGTTCTATCTCTTGGTCAGTGTCGATCAGATATTGGTGGGAAACACAAACACCTTTCCATTAACTCAAAAGAGAAATAGCCATATACGCATGATTACCTCTCTTTCTAGGACTTGCGAAATATCAATGGGCGTCATATGTTGTATAGTGAATGACACCTATTCAGGTGTCATATACCACTTTCATTTCCTCATCACAAAGGAACATGGTCGTTCGAATTTTCTCATATTATTGAATATGCATTCGACTGATAACGAAGTCTGTCCGCTTCACATTGCAGGATCGCGATCGCAAACTAGGAGACGCCCGGCCACTAAAAAGGCATCAGGGCGTGCTCGAGGGAGTGGGGGGTGGAATTATCGAAGGAAAAAAAAGTGACATTGCAGTATTGCAATCTGATATTTAAACAATTCTACGATCAAAATAAGTCTTCAGTATAAACTCTGACCCGTCAATGCTTTAAACTTTAGTGCTTTGTTGACGTTCAGGCGACCCAATGATAGTACAACTCGGCTTTGTGGCCCACTTGCTTGCGACGGTTTCCGTCTAATAGTGGAATATCAAATTTGAAAAACAAAATAAATACAGTTTAAACCAAGACTGACATCAATTTTACATAGATAGCTAAGTCTCCTGGAAATTTATCATCGTAAGCGAAAACGCCAATCTTCAAGCAGTACTGAGAATTCCCTTTGGCCGAATGCTTTTTGTTGCGAAATGTTAAAAATTCATCTGTGCAGTCTTGACCGTCACTATTTGAGCGTATAATGTGGTAGTTTTGTGTTGACTAGTGGTACTACTAGTTGTAGCATAGCAGAGTATGAGACACCTGCAGCTGAGTCAAATCTGACGTATATCTAGTGATACAGCAATAGAAGCAATTGTGTAAAGGTATCTCCCAGATAATGCTAAGTATATATATTCCTAGGAGAGTTTGATATGACCGATTCCAGATATGTCGATATCGAGTGAACGGTAATGGTACTAAGCCATGGTGTAATTGTTGGCAGTAGCTGTTGTAGTTTATGCACATGGCTTTGATGAGAGTTGAATTAATGGGTTACGAAACAGTATTATAGTTGGGGTGTCACTGTAAGCATGCAGTTGAATTTTATCTAGATGGTTTTCGGAGATAAACCTCCGCTTATCATCCGAGCAAAAACGTTGGACAGATTACCGTAGACACACCTGCTTCGAGGAAAAAACCCCCTTTTTGTGACAATAAAAATGAGTGTGAATTGTGAAATGTGATCAATTGGACCGGTGTCCCCCGAATTAATTAGTAAAAAATATATACAAATTATAAAAAAAATAAAAGTTGCTACGAAGGGGATCGAACCCTTGGCCTCAAGATTAACAGTCTTGCGCTACTACCAACTGAGCCACGCGGCAGATTATTTGGCAGAGAAATTATATATTATATACCCTTGGTTTTATAGTACTTTCTGAAAAAATGTAAATATTGACCTGTTTGGAAATTTTACAAAATTGTGCGCCTTTATGCCAGTATAACAAGGAAAATGTTATAACTTTTAACACGTGCGTATGTATTTTTTGGATACTTCAGAGCTTAATTGTGGCGCCAGTATGGGCGTGTACAGTTGCTTTTTGTAATGATCATACCTCGCGCCACAATATACATAAACCTGTGTCAACAGGCAGTCCAAATATCTTGTATGTATCGATGAAACGACTAAGGGATTTGACAAGTGGTGTGCAAAGTGCAGAATTCACACGTATGGATCTGTCAGTATGCTAAATGCACATTCGTGCAAAGTATCTGAAGCCTCGTGGCAAGAAACAGATAGCCTTAACTAAAGATACTGTAAATGCATATGATAGTAGAGAAGTGGAACACGCAAGTCGCGTCGCAGATAAAAACACGGCGTGATACGGAACAGATGATTCTTGTACATACTGTACCAATGGTACGACACACAGTGGGGATGTTGGCATTTTAAATGAGACGGATACAAATGCTAGCGAGTATAGCCGTATAAGAAAATAGTGCCACAATACAGTTTCTAAAGTGTCTTACAACACTCTTGTGAAGTAACACTCGTGTGAACTGGAATTCACATTGCAAAGAAATTTTTAGACTTTGTGACTATTATCAAGAATGTAAGCGCTAAGTTCGAAATCAGCCGCAGGTCCATGTCGTTAGAGAATAGAATCGTACTCTGGGTTGGGATAGTTAGGGAAAGATTGGACGAGGAATTATTGAAATGGACATTTGCATTGGCTGTATACGAACAGCATCTAATATACTCTATGATACAAATGATGCACTCCTCTACTTCTTTGGGCAGAAGATGTATGCCCCTGTTAATCTATTGGCGAAAAAAAATGGTGAATAGGATGTGGCTACCATATTTCCAGTTTATGGGTCATTATGAAACCGCACTCACTATGGATTGTACATATTTATAAATATATATATATACCCTATCAAACATATAAGCAACATGATATGCTTAATATTTTAGTTGGGATGACAACTGTCGAACGTTATTGTTTTGTGTCGCCTGTATGTTGTGGTAGAATCAGTGACCGCATAGTATCTGAACTCAACGAAGAAGAGCTTTTGCGAAACTCAGAAAGGGTTTCATTTGTATGGGAGAAAAGGTCCTCCACAGGAAGGTCTCCTGATAGATGGAGTGAAGTACAACGTACGTTGAGTACTAATAATCGATTCATCTCAATCGAGAACGCAGTATCAAAGGGAATTGCTGCCTCGGGAATTTACTTCGTGAGAGCCAAACTGCCAGGCCAAGTTGTTTAAAGATTACCGATATTTTCTTTTTCTGCAATGCTCAGGATGTTGCAATATATTGCACTGATATAATATCTCCGCTAGTCGGTAGACAATATTATATCTTCTTGATGTCATCGTGCAATGCCCGGAGTTCGACTCGTTGTGCAAGTGTTTCAGGTTTTGTTCCTGTATGCTCCACTGTCTTAATTTAAGCAACAGAAACCTCCTCTTATCTTTTTTGCTTACGTGCATGGGGAGCAACGCTCTGTATTGCTTTACGAACACCACTCTTCTGACTTTTCCATGTGGCCAATACATCTGAGAAGTTATCTTGCCTCTTTGCTGTTTTCTGCCTTTCTCTTACAAGCTTGCCATTGTTTGGTACCTGTGGACACGTCCCCAACAGACCTGTACAGCCATTAATGTCACACTGAGTTAGATAACCGGAGACTTATACAACGGCATCATAATCGTACCGCACACAGTCGTTCACGTTACTCCATGATGAATATTGCACCATGTACACATTTTCCTTCGCAACCTAACCCGCACTGTAGTATCCGCTAGACTGTGCACAATGCTTATTCTGCTGAATGACAGAGATTAAACGAGGTATACATGCATGCACAACAGCTTTAGATTCTAATATACATGCGACGATCTCAATGCACATCAACTTGAACAAGCTTATTTTTTTAGTTTGATCTATTATATGCGCAGCCACACGTGCTCGAACTTTCTCGTTGACGGCTATACTGAAAAAATCTACAGTTTTATCAGAAAATGGTATTGAAACCAAATATCATTTACACCTTGGCATTAATATGAAGAGAACTCAGATAGGTTTGGCATTGGCAAAACAAAACACTATATGCCTGCGATGGCTCTATTTGCTTAATATATGGATTATAAGTCCTGGTACAATAGTCGTGACACATATCATGAACAGATTACACACCACGATACACACATCCCACTGCTTTCAATGAACTTTAACGAGTACTGCATCTTCTAACACCAAGTGCATAATTGAAAGAAAAAAAGAAGTTATCATTCATATCGTCTCTACTAGGTATCATGATGTCTACTACCAACTTCAACGTATTATCCATTCCTAATATACACAGAAGACCACCACGTAAACGAATATGCCTAGTGTACGCACACCCTGTAAGAAGTGTGTATACTACGAAACACCCTTCAGTTGATGTGGAAAAAAAAGCGACGCGGTAAACATGCACAAATGAAAAAACATGACATATTTTACGGTCCAAAATGGAGAAAGCACAGTTCTAGTGACATGGCTGAGATCTAGCGAGACGGCAAATTCGATCTCGTTTGAAATGAGAACAGTTGCGATCCCCAATTTAATTAAAAAAAAGGGTTGAAAAAAAGTAGATCCGATATAGAAAAAGTTGCTACGAAGGGGATCGAACCCTTGGCCTCAAGATTAACAGTCTTGCGCTACTACCAACTGAGCCACGCGGCAGATAACTACAAATGAAAAGTTATGTATATAATATATGTTCAAAAATTGTTTCGAAATATCTTACTTCACACTTTTGGGCGAGCATTAATATATCTAAAACAACGCGCATCACCGATAAAGAGCTCCTGATTTGATGTAAAATTTTGCCACCGTTTTTATTCTTTATTGATTGTGTGAAATATAGCTAACGTGTTGACCTTGAGTACTCATTATTCATTTATAGTATGAACTTAAGCTAAGTAATGACCCTGAGTACTTATCTCTTTGTTTATGAGATGTACTACATCGACTGTTTTGATCTTGATCACCTTGTTCTATATTTATAAGTGGTGCCCATTTACCAAGATGTTGAGGGATTGTCTGGCTACACACCTCTCACTTTTCGAGCGTGACAAAGGTTGTTTTGAAACTACGTTCCGGCCTGATGAGGTATCGTTGGGGTCCCAAACATTCTGCAACTTAAGCAAGTGAACCAGTCCATATAATTTTGGACATAGGGTTTGATTCCATTCCACACGAGTCCATACCATACATTGCTTGAAACCAGACGACTGACCTTAGTCGGAAAGGAAAACTCCAGCGTGCATTTTCTACACCCACCCCGACATGGCGGTTTCATTCGCACGTAGCTGATACACACTGCATTCATACTGTTAACACGCTGGTGCACCTCAACCGACCACAGAACACTTGATGCAGCTCAAGAGAGCCCGTAACCAAATTGCTCTGATTCAGCACCATCATCGTCGGATTCATAAGATACCAGTGCTCTCTAGTTGTGTTTTAGGGTTATATATATATATATATATATAGTTGTGTATTATATATATATATATATATATATATATATATATATATATATATATATATATATATATATACTATATAGTATA